GTAGGCGGAGGACCGTCAAATAAGCTCTAATTCTTCTTCTAGTTGTAAGTGGTGCAGCTGCAGGGTTTTGAATTTTTTAACAGATACAATAAAAGGGTTTTGAACTTTTCCTCATGCTGTTATCTTTTTTATTTATTTAATTGGAAGAAACAAATAGATCAACCAATTGTGCAAGAGAGCTACTACTATTAAAAAGTATCAATCACTCTGTTCTTTTCTTTTTCCATATAGAAAGAGATATAGAATGATTGTAGAATTACAAACAAATGCTTTAAATAAATCACTAACATTTAATACAGAACCGTAAAATAACATGAATCAACACTATATACCACACCCCCATACAGGAGAAGTATACAATTTAACCAATCCCAAAACAAGAATCTAACAAATACATCCATCACATTTGGTGGGACCAGACGAAACATAATAACAGTTAAAATTCTGATATCAATTACATTCTTCAACTGTAAGCTTCTCATTTTTTTCTAGGAATCAAGCAGAACAAATGTAGGTCGTTCATGATGGATGATTTCTTGTTTAAGTTTACGATTAGTAGAAGTGTTGAATCAAAATACTAGAACCCAGGCTTTGACCATGATTTTCAGAGAATTTTAGGGTATAAAAAATTTTAAAAAAAAAATTACCCTTGAGAGAGAGAGAGAGCTGGAAGAGCTGGAAAATGTCGCTTCTTTGGAGCTGCAACCATGACAGAGAGGGAGAAAGCGTGGGCGTCGCAGGCCTCGCTAGCTGGAAGAAGCGTAGGAGAAGAAGAGGAGGTGCTCTGTTTTGATTCCGTAAGTGGGGTGGGGGCCGCACCTGAATAAGGGATGAGGAATATAGGGTTTGACAATAATGATGTTTATTTTGTAACTAAGTCCCTTTATTTTGACTTTATTATTTTTTAACAAGTAACTTAATCTCTTTACAATTTTGCACTTTTTTAATATAATTTCAGCCCCTTGTACTTAAAAATTTTATCTTTTCTAACCCAACTTATGGTTCTTTTTAACCTAATTGAACTTTTTATTTAAAAAAAAAAATTCACTTTATACCTATGTTACATGGACTTGCCATTCGTTCCCAGCACAAATAACCAGGGAGGATACAAAATTTTTTGCAAAGTTACATGCTAGTGACCCTTTGGAGGTTACTAGCATATTCATTGGATAAAAAATATGGCTTTCTTTTTTTTTTTTTTTGGCTAGTTGATACCTATTGTAAAGTTACCAGCAGCCAGTCACTTATGGGTGACTATAACACTTGACCATGCTCTCTTCCACTTGTATAATAAAATTATACCTCCTGACTAATGCCAATTTCCAAGACCAGCCGTTACTTTAGCTGTGCTTAAGCATAATGCCAATTTCCAAGATGCACCATTAATTCAGCCTTAACAAGGCTTTGATTGTGCTCTCCATGAAATAATATGTGCTTTTATTTTATTATTCATTTGATATATTAAATCCAACTATTATATGTTAACAATATTTGAAAATATTTTTATATATAAAAAAATGTCTTTATTTAATGAAAACCAACTGCATTACCATGTACTTTCTCTTTGATCTCACTGATACCAATTGCTAGCTAGCTTTTTGGCGAATTTATTAGTATATTGTCAATTTTGAAAAAGTTCACAAAATTGGGGGTATTCGGGGTGGAATGCTGAGTAAGGTGTCGCGCAATTGAGAGTTGAGTCTACTAATAAAAATATTTTTAATTTTTATTTATTTTAGTTTCATGTATTTTGGGTCAATTTTTGTAAAAAAAAAAAAAAAAAAAATCTTTGGAATGTTGCTTCGCCGCTCATCTGATGGGCGGCGAAAGAATGTTGGTCAAATTGCTTCGTCGCTCAATTGATGAGCGGCGAAGCTTTTGTCCTTATGTTCTAGTTTTTTTACTTTTTTTTTTTCGAAGCATTCTTCCTACGTTTTTATTGTTTCATATGTAATTTTTAATAAGTGTGGCCGTTCATTCTAATTTATTTTTTTTACGAAGCATTCTTCCTACCTTTTATTATTTCATATGTAATTTTTAATAAGTTATTTAATGTTTAATAAAGGCAGCACGACCAACTTATAAATTGGGACATTTAAGTCCCTAAACTTATAAAATGGGACACTTAAATCCCTAAACCCTTATAAATGGGACACTTCGACCATCACGGCATTCAAGATTTTGTTAACAATTTTCCTTAATTGGGAGATATTTATAAGTTTAGGGACTTAACTGTCCCATTTTGAACTTTAAGGATTAAAGTGGGTAATCATCCAAAATTTGGGGGGACAAAGTGGAATTAACCCTATTTTTAAATTTTATAATATTATTATCGCAATTAATAATGATAAATAATACAATATATTGGGAGGTTGTGTTATATTAAGTCATATTAATAATACAATATTAAGTCATATTATTGTATTATTTATGGTTGTGTTATATTAAGTCATATTATTGTATTATTTATCATTATTGATTGCGATAATAATATTATAAAATTTAAAAATATGACTTAAGTAAATTTTATTAGTAATTTAATAGCATACTCGATTATCATGTTAATTTATAAATTTCTCATTATTCTAATATCATATTTTAAATTTTTGATAATTTTGGTTTATAATAGAATTTTAGTAATATGATTTAAGAATTTTAATTTAAAAGTATTACACTGTAATTTGAAAATTAGTATTTCATGTAAAACGTAAAATCTTAATTACGCCTATTTAAGGTTACATAAAAACGTCAGGAAAAAACCTGGTCGCTCTGCCTTTTATTAAACATTAAATAACTTATTAAAAATTACATATAAAATAATAATGGGTAGGTAGAATGCTTCGTAAAAAAAATAAACTAGAATGAACGGCGACACTTATTAAAAATTACATGTGAAATAATAAATAACTTATTACATTTATTACATATGAAATTAAATATTAAATAACTTATTAAAAATTACATATGAAATAATAAAAGTTAGTATGAAATAATAAAAGTTAGGAAGAATGCTTCGAAAAAGAAAAAGAAAAAAAAAAGGGACAAAAGCTTAGCCGCTCATCTGATTAGCGGCGAAGCAATTTGACCTCAACGGTCCCATCAACCAATTCCATTAGCACGGTCTCATCAACCAACCAATTCCATTAGCGAATTAGCGAATAAGGACAAAAGCTTCGCCGCTCAAAGGACAAAAGCTTAGCCGCTCATCAGATGAGCGGCGAAGCAATTTGACCAATATTCCTTAAGGGACCCAAAATAAATGAGAATTAAAAGGGTTTTTATTAGTAGCCTCTATTCTCACTTGCGGCGACCCTTAATCAGCAACTCCCCCTGGATGACCCCAATTTTCTGAGCTTTTTCAAATTTAACAATATTGTAAGAAATTCGCCGCTTTTATGGGTGCTACCACATGAGTTAATGATATCGTTAAAATGTTGGCCAAGTTTTTCAAAAATGATTTAGTGTATGCTGAGTTTAAGCAAACAACTCAAAAAATAAAAGAAGAAACACAATTGTAATATCTTAAAGAAATTTTTGTTTAATGATTTGGCTACTCACTATAATGGATTTTGATGTTTCAAACTAAACTATTGACTAAAGTTAATTGATTTCAATTAAAAATGATGGCTGGACTTTTTAAAAAACAAAAAGTGGTCATTGGACTTTTTATAAAGAAAATCACAAAATAACAAGAATATAAACAAACTTTCTATGTTTGATACTGATAAACTAATCAAATTTAAGATATTTATATTTAAAAATGCATTGAATAGTAGTCCATATTTTGAATCTTAGTCCAAACGGAAATTAATTAATAATTAAACAAGTTTTTTTTTGGTTGTGTATGAAAAAGAATTCAATTATTTATCTTGTTCAAGAAAATTCAGCTTTTCATTTTTTTGGTTAAAATGTTAATGACATTCAAAAAATTTAAAATTCAATTCTATACAAAATTTGGAAAAGATTAAATGTAAGATAAATTTAGAAAAAAAAATGAAATAGGACAAATACTGAAATTCTACGTTTCATAGACTCGAGTATAAGTACTAAACATAGGTACGTTTTTAGGCGTCAGATTCGGATACATATCTCTGAAATCCCTTCCGAATACAAAATAGGACCAATATATATTTGAATTATGCAGTGTATAATTTACTACCAAGATTAAAATACATATAAAGCGGTGTATCATTAACTAATGCATAACTGTTACCAAAATCGCAATGTGTAACTTTATAATCAATATCACAAGCAATGTATAACTCTATGATCATTGATCACAAAGAATCATTAAGCTCGTAAATTCTTAAACAATACATAATTCTATCATCAACATCATATAGAATCATTAAGCAGTTTGTAATTCCATTAAAATGATTAACTCAATCATTAAAAAAAGTGCATAATTAATTATATTATTCAAGATCATAATTGATTATACAACTCTTCATCCACATTTATAAGTTTTTTCATGCACATACATATTATGAGTATACAATAATATATTATAGTGAATTGTATGAAAGTTTATAATGAATTATATTATGCAGTCTCTTATAATAATCATAATAATTCATGTACTATTAGTAAACTTACATGCACATGATACCAGTACAGGAGAATACAATAATATACTAACATAGTATGCTAGCGTGTGATGATATGATATCCATTTAATATGACTTTACAATTTGCACAGTCCCAAATTCCGAATATGCACCAGTTTCCAAACTCGTTAAAATTTCCTGGCAAGAATTCGGTGAGATGTTGTGTACAGCTTTATTGAAGAAAAGGCAAAGGATGTAGTTAAAGATGTAATTAAGCTTCAACGGGTTTTGAAGTGGAGATTGCCCAAGAGAAATATGGGGGACCTAAAACCTTGGCGATGCTCAAAAACAAAGTGGATCATTTCTACTTTCATTAGTGGCTTGAAGAAAGAAATCAAGCCAATGGTTAAGATGCTAAGACAAGAAACATAATAGTTGTTCAAACTCCAGGAATGTTCAATTAAAAACAGAAAAAAATATATATATAGCTTAATGCGAACTCTTTGTTTCTGAGTACAGTGAACGATTATCAATTTTCCAATAGACACTTTTTGCAGCGTCTACAACTTATGGATACAGAGAGGTATAAGCATAATCACATGGAGTAGCTAGATTGAGTGGTTCAGATGACGTGAAAATAAAGAGGCATAAGCCCCATTAGCTATCTTTATGAGCTCATCATGTCTACCTTTCTCAACAATCACGCCATTTCTCAGAAATGCAATGGTGTCACTTCCTCTAATTGCTGTCAACCTGTGAGTCACAACAATTGCTGTTTTGCTTACCATCACTTGGTTTAGTGCAGCTTGAACTGCTTTTTCTGACTCTGCATCTAGAGAACTTGTTGCTTCATCTAGTAATAGGATTTTTGGGTCCTTCACTATTGCCCGTGCAATGGCAATCCGTTGCTTTTGTCCGCCGGATAATTGAGCTCCACATTCCCCTACATGAGTATTATAGCCTTGAGGTAACGCTGATATGAAGTTGTGTGCATTTGCTAATTTTGCAGCTGCAACAATTTCATCTTCTGTTGTATCTTCTTGCTTGCCATATGTTATGTTGCGACGAATGGTATCTTTGAAGAGTATGGGCTCTTGGCTCACCAAAGCTATGTGTTGTCGCAGCCATTTCAGGTTGTAGTTTCGGATATCAATGGCATCCAATAATATACATCCTGATTTAACATCATAAAATCTCTCTACTAGACTTATTAATGTTGACTTGCCATTCCCACTTTCTCCAACAAAAACAACAGTCTGCAAACTCAAATTCCATTGCATCATATGCAAATTGGATGATAAGTGCCAAATAAATGAATATAGGTTGAATGGTAACTTGAACCATTTTGAATGTAAAAGGGAGCTAAAATAACAGCAAAACAGTGTTGCAGCATTATCCCATGTTTCATATCCTTGGTTGAAGCTTCCTCAGTATTGATTTGACTTATGTGGTTAAATTCCAATTAGTGCTGAGATTAACTGAATTAAACATAGTCCAATCCTATTAATCCTTTTCAATAAGAGCCTGGGTTTAACAGAAATGTGTAGTGTACAACTCTGATACAATCCAAGTCCAGTTGGAGCCTAAAACCAACAAGAGTTATAGAGTCCAGTGGATTGAAGCAGGTCTGACAACTATACACATCAGATGATCTACTGCGCATGAATTCAAAGGTACTAGCAGGAATTAAGAAAGAGATTCAGTGAAACAAACTTTGTACCTTTCCAGGAGAAATGTTCAAGGACACATCTTTCAGAATTTGCACATTTGGCCGAGATGGATAACTGAAGCTAACATTTTGGAATTCAAGGTCACCTCTTAGATTTTTCAGTGTCATGCCCGTTGTGCTACTGGAACCATTTGTCTCTTTGCTGTCAAAAATGTTATACAATGAACTAGCCAAAGCAGAGACTTTATTTGCATCGAATGCCGTACCATTGGCTTGTGCAATTCCTGCTGCTGAGGCTATGAAAGCCAAGTAAACCTGCAATCACAGGCCAGAGCTCCTAATTTTACACTATAAACTTCAATGAGAAAATGAAAGTATAAGTGCGCTATCCACCTTGAAAAGTTCTGCCACAGTTGCTTTCTTGTGTTCAACAAGAACGGAACCAATGTAGAAACACAGGGCACTTGTGAAAAAGTATCCAAATTGAGAAATGCCAAAGTTGATACTTCTTATAATTCCTAGTCGGATCCAGTGTGTCATTTTGGTGCCAGATTTTTTCCGATATAACTCCATCACCTTATCTTCTGCACAAATTGATGCGACTGTTCTTATATTTCCAATGGCATCACTTGCAACTTGACTTTGCTCAGCATAAATAAGCTGAAAACAAGTGAAAATTTTGTTAAGTTGGTATGCTGTACAATCCTTATTCATGCTGCACTGTGAATACAAATATCATCTGATCAACCTCAGCATCTGCAGCAAATCTTTTGAGGAATTTTGTTTGAATGAAGCTTAGCATTGCCAACATAGTACACAATGCGACAAGTATCAATGCCAACATCCAGTTCTCCATTAAGGCTATGAACAATCCAGCAAAAACTGTTGATATATTTTGGATAAGGAGGGACAAGCCATCTTTCAGAAGGCTCTGCAACATTGAAGCATTGCAAGAGAGCCTTGCACCAACCGAACCACTGAGATTAAGCAATAAAAGAAGAAAATTTAGAAAAGTTGTCTACAACTTTGAATAACGACAAAAAAAAAAAGTATCTTAGACAATGTTGATGTACAGGTCAGCAACTAAGTAATTTACCTTGAATTTGAAGGATCATCAAACCAGCAAATTTCTCGATGAACAATCTTGTCAAATGATAGCAATGAAATTCGCTTTATCAGCTTACCACTTGCAGCTCCAAATGAATAGTTTTGCGATAATACTGCTAAGAATGTGATACTGCCTATGAGCACATACATTTGTGCCCAATAACTTGAATCTTTTTCTTGCTGACTAGGAGGTTCATAAAAAATTGTTATAGCTGTTGCGAATAGGAAGCCATATACTGGAAATGCTATCCCATGAACTATTGCAGAAAATGTTCCAATCAGTAAAATTGGGACAACATCTTTGCATTGGTTAGCAAGCCACTTAATTGAAAAGGTTGAATGCTTTTGAAATTTGTGTTCCTTTTTTATTTCATTTTCTCTGCAACTAACCTGAGTATTAATACCAGTATATTTTCTAGAAGAATGATTAGTACTTGATAAACTTTCTCTCGTAATACTCTCAGTGGATGACAACAGACCCTCAAAATTTTCCATTGTCTCAGTGATGTACTTTCTTGTTTCTCCATTCTTCCGTTTGGAATTCTCAACTTGATTTTTCCCTTGTAAGCTAACTAGTTTGGAATAGTGCCCATCTTGATTTCTGATTAATTCAGCATGAGTTCCTAAATAGAAGACATGAAAGAGTTAGTAATGTTATCAGATAAATATTTTGACATGTTACAATGACATAGTTACCTTGCTCCACAATTTTTCCCTGATGCATAACTGCAATACTGTCAACGTTTTCAACACTTGATAAACTGTGAGTAACGATTATTGCTGTTCGTCTTGATGCAATCTTGAAGATTTCATCATAGATTGCTTTTTCAGTTTTTGTGTCCAATGCACTCGTTATTTCATCGAGAAGGTAAACTGTAGGGTCCTTTAGAATTATCCTAGCAATAGCAATTCTCTGCTTTTGTCCACCAGAGAGTTGAGCTCCAAGGTTGCCTACCATGGTGTCTAGACCCTGATAAAAATCTTACTTGATATATTTCCATGTCCAGTTATATAAAATCAAATATCCAGTAACTTATATCAGCATTAAGAAGGATATAGTCAAATCTTTTCTGTATTATTTTGTAATCTTTACTCCAACAGAAGCTTGTTCATCTCATCATGTATTTACAAAAAATTAAGGGAGGAATAAAGAAACAAAAGTGTTCACCAGTGGTAAGTCTTTGATGAAGGCTGCAGCAGAAGAAGACTGAAGGGCTTTGTTGATTTCATCTTCTGTGGCATTGTCCTTTCCATATGCTATGTTCTCTCTTATTGTTGTGGCAAATAATACTGGTTCCTGACTGACTAAGCCTATCTTTTCCCTTAGCCACCTGAGCTGTAATCTCTTCACACTGACACCATCTATTAGTACTTCACCAGCATCTGGATCGTAAAACCTTTCTAGTAAACTAATCACTGTTGACTTCCCACATCCGCTTTTCCCAACTAAGGCTACATGCTTACCACTTGAGATGTGTAAAGATAGACCAGAGAATACTTCCACAGCTTGCCTTGCAGGATATCTGAAGTAGACATCTTTTAGATGAATTTCGCCCTTGATGTTTTCCAGTACAATCCCAGCCGAATCAATAGCATTGATTTTTGGCTTTCTTTTGATTGTCTTGAACATGTTACCTGCAGCAGCTTTTCCTGATGATAATGCGTTTAAACATGACGAAGATTGTAACAATGCCCTAGTGCAAGAAGTCAGAAAAACTTGTTAGGGAGGTTATAATGTCCAATGGAAACAGTAGATACTGTTAGACTGTCAGATAAATTGCAAACCTCTCTCTTGCAGGTAGAATGTTTATTTTCACTGATTAGATAGGAGTAATTTGTGACAAAAAAATCCTACCTAAAAATTGATTGGAATTCGCATGTAAAACTAATGAAATTTTACCATAAGAATAATGCTGGACTTACATTCCACCATACACCAGTGCAACTATAATGCTGATAACCTGTCCACCTGTGTAACCTTTCTCCAGGATTAATTTAGATCCATACCAAATGGTTAGTCCATAACCACCAAAAAGAATAAAAGACACTGTTCCTAATCCTAGCCCTGAGACCAATCCTTGTCTGGCAGAAAACACGTTGACTTTTTCCAGTTTCTTGGCATACTTAGTGATGGCTTCATTTTCTGCTGTTAAGGATGAAACCTTGTGCAAGAATTTGAAAATAATGTCAATTTTCTTCTCTAGGATAACAACCTAATTCAAGATCATGTCAAAGAACTAAAATGGAAGAATATCAAGTAACATACGGTTTTAATTGCTCCAATAGTCTCTTCCACCACACCTCTGGCTTCAGAATAAGCAGCTTGAGTGTTAATGGACATTTTGGCAAGAATAATCACTGTAACCCCTCCAACAATGAGAAGAGAAGGAATCATTGAAACCAGGGACAGAGAAAGAAGCCATCCTCTAGCAAAGGCAATTAAAAACCCGCCAAGAAAGGTTGACAAGTATTGGATAGACTTTCCTATCTGAAAAAAAATGAATTGTCAAGCAAGTCCAGGAATACGTGAAGGGAATAAGAGGAGAAATTCAATATTTATGTAACTTGAAACTCATTAGAACTTCTTAAGGGATAAAATGAATTATTACCTCTGCACTCATTGCATCTTGAATGGTTATGGCATCACTTGAAGCCATCCCAAGGGCTTGTCCCACTGTCATTTCAGTGTCAAAGTATCCAATTTCTTGTCTTAACAATGTTTCAAAGTACAAGCCTTGTAATCTAGAAGCCTGTCTTTCTCCTGTGATGGTCCAGCATGAGACCTCTGCAACAAAACCAGCAAAGAATGCATATTGTTCATCTAGAGGTTAACAGTATGTTCCTGCATTAATCGAAGTGATCAATGCTATGATCTGCCTTAATAGTGAAAAAAAGATGAATATGCAAAAGTACTAGTGTGTTAATATAGAGCGTGGTAAATTTGAAGATCATTAACTGTATATTAGACAACAAAGAAGATGGCAAAAGAAATTGTAGCCAAACAACACAAGTTACAAAAATCAGAAGTTGAAGTAAAACAAACATTGGAAACTGGATTTCGGCATAAAAATGGTTGCTTGGTATTCTTTGCAAGATTTTCCCTGATTCCCTGCAAGTTAATACAGATTATTTGGCTCCTCTCTAAGTGAAGTAAACCATGTTTAAGCACATTATTAAATCAAATTAATCTGATTTTCATGATTTTATCTGTATGTAATACTTGTACACGAAATGGGACTAAAATTTATGTTATGAATTAAAATTTGAAATCAAATTCCAGTCACGATGCATGTTTTTAATGAATATTTATTCCAATATATAGTACCGGACAGTACTATTTGTCTTCAATTGTTAATAAATTTTATGTCTTTTTTTTCAAAAAAAAATTTAATTAATTAAACACGTATTTAGTTCGATTACAACTTATATCAGACCCTCTTCAGTGAAAGTAATTAACAAGGTAACCTGTTAAAAAGGGTAGGTTTTGATTATCAAGTATGTCTAACCGATACAACTGATTAGGATTAGCGAGATCAAGCAAACCATCCAAATCCCTAGCTTCTAGTTCTATGTATTGCATTCCCATCATGCAAACTTATTAGTTAATAACAGAACTGAAAATTATAGTGACACCCACGCATTTGTGCAGCAATCCCTGCTCCAGCAGCCAAGTATAGTAACTTGATAGATACCTGCAAATGCCAAAGATGTAAACTTCATTAAATGCATGTATCGTGACTGGGACCTTGGATAAACGCTTGTATGTTGACCTATCCGGTTTACTTGGTGAATGTTAGAAAAATAATAATTGAAGCTTTAGCATTTATTTGTTTTGTTTAGATAGTGTTCCATGTGTCTCTTAATAGTTTGGCTGTGAGTGTAGTCCTAATCATGAGCACAGCTACGTGGATCCAAGGGGATGCAAATGCCCGCACGTTACTTCGACAAAATTAGTTTTAAGGTTTAGAAAATTCAAAGATTCCAAAAGTTACTTATTATTTGCCTTCGCTAAAATTTAACACATTTTTTTTATTGTCTATATAGACCCTCAAACAATTAAAAATTTATGATTGTTATCATTTACAAGAATTTCGGATATACTTAAAGTTCATTATGGAAATTATTTCAAGAATAAATTCTTTTAAAGTTTTTAAATTCAAATAGAGAGAATGATTTTCATTTTTAAATTTAACAACGATACGAACTTCAAAACCCAGTAAACTTAGAAAAAAAGAATATATGTTTAACAAAAATATTCATTGATTTTATTTATATTATTACTTCATTTTATATGCTATCGAAGATTATTTTACTACTCTGTTTGTTCATATATATATATATATATATATATATATATATATATATATAAGCCCATAGGACAAAACAACAAAGAGGCAAAGGGAATAACTTCATTGTCACTCAATAAGGCTTTTTGTTGAGCAAATAATGAAGTATTCCCTTTTGCCTCTTTGTGGGTTTGCTGAATTTTTTAAAACTTGGTTTTCATAAGAGGGGAAAGAGAAGTGAAAAAGGAAATTCAGTAGCAGAGTCCATCAATTAACATCCACGTACTGTGCACAGAACATAGACTTGAACCTAACTAAAAACTAAAGATTACTTGTGCACACAATTTTCGTGTATAATTTGTGGTTAACTTGCAAGTTTTTGGGTCGTGATAGAGACATAATAATTCAACTTGTGACTGGACTAATGTCCTTGACCAAATCTAGAGGCTGCGAAGGTGCTACTATCTTTCTCGACGCATTTCTTTAGACAAATTCGGATGTTTTTTTGTTAGCAAATATCATTATTTTAAGTTGTGAATCTTTCAAATCATTCCAGCAATAAGGGAACAAAAATAAATAGAAAACTTTGAAGAAGGCGAGGAGGATGGGATGAAGAGCCTTACAAGTTATAGTCTGTGTAGTTCAAATTGGTTCGAGCAATTCCCAGAGTTTTGGTTTAACGGTGAACTTAGTTGTATGAGTTAACAAATTCAATTTTATATCTAAGTTGTATGAATTTATACCAAAAATTATAAGAATTACATCAGCCACATCGAACTAGATAGAATCCAACTTGTGAGGCCCTGATCCAAAATAGTGTTAGATCGGAGAGATAATGAACGAATATTTTCTCTTCCGTGATTGATACAAAAACTTCGAGTAATACAGATAGAGATGTGGTCCTTAATAAAAACAAAAACAGAAGGGTACTTTGGCATATCTAAAATACGTGAAGGATTAATCTTACATATAGTACTTATTCCATTGTCAGAGTGTAGGTTTGGATATGTGATAGATGACCTCCATTTAAATGTAGAATTCTCTTTTTTCCATATGTGTTGCATATTCAAACATGTTAGTGTAAACTAATCATCAATGCTAAAAGGATTAATTCATGAATTATATATGACCACTTTGCTTATTATGTTTCTAAAAATAGTAAAAATGTAGTTCAAAACATTGGTCATCATGTTTTGACTATATATAAAGTTTTGAAATGGTTAAGTATAGTACTCAAAAGCAGCTCAAGAACTACAAGTTAGGATACTCTTTTGGATAAATCTTTTATATACTGACATTGACAGTGTATATTAGCGGTCCAAATGCATGTCACATATATAAAATTTGATATTTAAATTCAAATTCAGATGATGCAGCATTTATTTAATCTCGTCGATGTATACATTGACAGTGTATGAAAGATTAATCCTACTCTTTTGTCATTTTAAATAGATTGAATGAACAAATTAAGGAATAAGCAAGAAATTAAAGCACAAGATAACATGCAACTTGTTAAAAAAAAGTTTTTTTAACCCATATTTCGTAACAGTCATTTAATCAAACAGTCAGTTACATGCAAATAAAATATCCAAATTCCAAATTTGTCAAAAAAAAAAAAAAAACTAATTGAAAGCATGTAAATTACCCGCAATATGTCTTGAGGCATATGCTGGTAATCCGCAGTGCTAAAAGTGTCAACAACACCACCGAATAGGAGTGCCATAACAGGCTGTGCTAGTCCATTTGCAATGGCGCAGATTGACCCAAAAACCATCAAGAATTTGTCAACTCCATCAGCAAACTGGAAAAGGGTGAAGAGGGAAAAACCCTTTTCATTTGCTTTGCTAGATTTTTGTGTTTGTTTTGGTGTTGGAGAAGCTGTTGTGTTTTCCTGCATGGTTTGCTATTGAAAGAGAGGTGCTTGTTATCAACGAGAATATGGTGTCAGATTCCTGCCCTTATCTGTTCTTATATAGTTGCAAAATTTAACATTGGCAGGAAAAGTCATAAGGAAATTGCCAAATTTAACACTAATTGGTAGGAAAAGTCATAACGAGAGAAGAAAGGTAGGGTAGAGACACTAGCCAGAAAAAAAAAAAGGGATAGCCTTGGTTGGCTCAAGGAAACATTTATATATTCTTGGCCACAAAATTCTGAGAGAAGAGAGCCAAATGGTGTTTTGAAATTTGGGATCATTATAGATAATGATTATTGTTAATGGATTTTTGAGTCTATAAGATTGTCTTTTTCTCTTTTAGATCTGCATCAAAAAAAACTTAACAATCTAATTGGATTACAATCGTTAGTATGTGGAACATGCTATGCATGATTATTATACTTCAAAAATCATACTATAAACTCATGAAAGCACAATTTCTATAGTGGTAGCATACAAAATGAACATCGAAACTCTGACGTGGAAGTATCTTTAAACTTTAGATATGTTCCAATTCTGTGAATTTGATGTTGACATTATAAGTAAGTTGCAGATATTTGAACTCAATTTTTTTCCTCCTGTTTTATAGAATAAATGTTTGCCTTAAGTCCTTGTTTGGATTGCTTGTTTCCGTCGAAAAATATTGTCGTTTTCCGTGATCACATTTCCCTATTACCTTTTTTCCTCACATATATCAAATCGCTACAGTAATTTTTCCATAAAAATGACGGAAAATGCAATCCAAACACAACCTTAGTTTATATCAGAAATCACACGTCGAAGTGATTATCATTGTTCGTTTTATATTTGCTTGCATGTTCATGTGTACATATATATTCAAAGTTTACTTCTAACTTATTAGTTATGCATGTAGCCATGCATACAAATATTTACATATTCATCTGTGTGTGTGTATATATGTGTGTGTATATATATATGTGTGTGTGTGTTACGCAATTATAGTTTGACGAGGAATAATTTGGTCGGTTACCCTAAAATTTTGGATATATCCAGACCATCTCATCGTTTGTCATCGTTTATCAGTTTGCTGACCTATTTGAGCAGCCATAGTTGTAGAGTATGTTTGCCGATTTACAATGATCACGCATTGCACAATAATTTGGAGAATCAAAATTGACTGCTACAGACATCATCTCAATTACGTATGGGCTATAAATTGAACATTTTGAATATTGAGTTGCACTATCCTTAATAGCCCTAGAATTTGATGGCTGTGTTCTACCTTGGACGCTTAAACTGTAGACACACTTTCATTTTAGTCCTCAAATTTTAATTTTTGGCACTTTGCCCTTTAAAGTGTGAAATTTATCCCAATTTAGTTCATAAACTTCAATTTTGGATACTTTAATTACCCCCTAAAGAATAAAATTCGTCCTAAGAGATTGTCAAAATTAACGGAATGATAGGCAAGTGATACTCAAAGTTTAAACACTAAAGTGTGATGGATTTCATACTTTAGTGCTAAAGTGTTTAAAATGAAAGTTTAAGGATTAAAGTTTGATGGGTTTCATAATTTACGAGGTAAAATGTCCGAAACTGGAGATTAAGGATTGAAGTTGGAGTGTGTTTATAGTAAGGATCTAAAGTGGAATTTATCCTATTTTCAGTATTGATTAATGTTTATCTTATATACTATCATGAAAGATCTACTTGAACAGGTTAATAAAAAATGGCAGAACAATGATCACTCATGCTCAACCAAAGAAAGTAAAAAAAAAACAAAAAACAAAACAAAAAAAAAAACAAAGCCGCGCCGTCAAATTTGAACCCACAAAATCGGCCTCACGCTTTTGCAAAGCCACGCCGTCATTCTTGCCAATGAGGACAGCCCAGCTCAGCTAAAATGATCAATATGCCTTTACCAAGACTACCAAGCATACAGCACCCACAAGGGCAAAAAGGTCATAAAGGGGCATTTCCAGCAGATGGATGATAAAAGTAGGATAAGGGGTCTCTCCAATTGAGATTTTGTCCTGTTCTGTTCTGTCCTGATATTTAAACTGACACAATTTTTGTGTAAATTAATATATTTTTTGTGTAATAGTTAGTTTTATACTAGTCTAGTTATAATTCACGTTTATACCAAAATTGTGCCTATTTACATCGAAATTATGTCATTTTATACAATTGGAAATTATGTCATTTCCATAAAAGTAGGTGTAAATCCCCATTCATATGTCCAGGATTTATAATTATTACGTCTTTGCGGTTAAGTGTTGTGCTATTATTAAATGCCTTAACAGATATCATTATCACTTTATCCCCTTAACTTCGATGTAACTATCAATTTTCCCCTTAACGTTATCTTTTAATCCAATGTTTTAAAAACCAGACCGTTAATTGAACCGATGAAGTGAAAGGGTTGAGGTTCAATTGGTCGGACCGGTTCAACCTCGATTCAATGAATTTTTTTAAAAAATAATTTATATAAATATATATATGCACAAAATAAGACATGAAATGAACTAATTTAATACTTTACATAATGAAAAGTTTACTATTTTTGAATAACTTGGATTTTTAAAATAAATTTTTTGAATTATAAGTTAAAACAAATAAATTTCATCTCAATTTCAATTATATCTACCAAAAAATCTTAAATCCAACCAAAAAATATCACAATATTTTGAAATTATACAAAATTCACGTCTATGAGAATTTAGACATTGTGGACTTAAATTTTAATTTACATTTTGGGATTTAGAGATTGCAATTCAAAAAGAAAGTTTGGAGTTCGAAAGAAGTCAAGAGAATCGAAAATAGAAATGCAAATTTGATAAGAAACAAAAAATGAGATAAAATTAAGTGGTTGTGACATTAAATAATTTGGGTTAATGGACAAAAATAAAATTTAAAGATGAAGAAAACATCAATAAATTAAATAAAATTTAAAGATGAAGAAAACATCAATAAATTAAAAATAAAGATGTTTGATTAAAAAGGGAGTGACAAAAGAAAAGAGGAGAGAGAGAGAGAGAGAGAGAGTTGAAGATTAAAAAGAAAGAGCCATGAGAGAACGAGATTTTGTAAGAAAAATGGGAAAAAAAAATATGAGTGTTTGTTTTATATAAATAAGTTATAAAAAAAACTAATAAGATGTGATTATGCAACGGTTACTATATTGATCTTCTATTACAAAGGTTATAAGTTTGAATTTTGAAAGCTACAATTTGTTAAAAAAAAAAAAAAGAGGAAAACTAGAAAACCGGAAAAAACCGATTCAATCCGGTTTCACGGTTGGACCGATTTTTGATCGATTTTCTAGCATGGTCAACTCTAACATAGAACCGGACCGGTGCCATGGCCGGTTCGCGGTTCAACAGGTCGAACCGGTTGATCCGGTTCGGTTTTCAAAACACTGTTTTAGTCATTTTACCCTCAAACTAACGGTCAAACTTAACGGAATTTGTTAATTAAAGTAAAAAGGCAAATTTAGCCCTTAAAATTATTATCACTTTATCCCCATAAACTATAGTCTCATTATCAATTTACCCCATAGAGTTATTTTTTAGACAATTTATCTCACCATTAAACCAATTTAGCAAGTTAAAAAACTTTAGAAGAAAGTACCCTCCACTTTGTATAATAAAAGCAATAAAAAAAATTTAGAGTGGCTCTTCTTCTCTTTAGTATAAAGAAAAAAAAAAGTCAAAGTATTAATCTCTTTCTTCTTGACAATCTTAATATTAAAAAAAATAAAAAGATTGGGAAGGGGAGGGAGAGGGGGGGAGAGATAGAGAGAGAACTCAATTCTTTTTTTAAAAAATACAAATAAGAAAGAATTAAATATTTTTATTATTTTAAAATTATTTTACTTTACTGTTTACCACCACGTTTCAATCCTAATTATAACAACCTTAAATTAACGATAGAATGATACATAAAAGGGTAAATATTTTATTTTTAATGATATATATATATAATGGTAAATATATTTAAAAAATTTTGACCATACTAGTTAGATTAACGATAAAGTAAAAATGCCTAGAAAATAATGTTAGGAATTAAAGCTACTATATCACTATAATTTAAAGGAATAAAGTAATAATAACAATAGAGTAATGCTATAGAATAAAAGGGTATTTTTGTCCAAAATTTTTTAATATGTTGAGTTGAATTACTTATGGGAGTGAGTGACTAAAAGATAACATTATGGGGTAAACTGATAGTAATGATATAGTTGAAGGGGGTAAAGTAATAATAACCCTTATCATTACAATGTTTATTTCATCTGTTGAGAGGAAAACTTGTGCACATGCTCGTTTACTTCGAACATTATTGTTTGTCCCAAATCACTCAAGAGAATTTAAAAGATTTTTTTGCATTTAAGAAGTAATTTTGCATTTAAGAAGTAATTATGGAACCTTCAACTTATCCATATTTACTCACAGGGCTGACTTTAACCAAATTCTTGTGCAAGAAGGACTTCCAAACATTCAGCTAGTTTTAGTAAGTTTTCAAAAATATATTTAATAAGATTTATTGTATAAAGTAAGCTGCAATTTCCATAGCTTTAATGAAAAAAAAAGAAAAAACTTAAACTTTCCTTTTAAGACGTGATAGCACCATCTTAATAGCTTAATAGAACAACTTCCATGCCTAGAAACCTTTGTTTGTTTCTTAGTCGAAAACAAAGCCTAAAACTCATGTGCGATGCAATTAATATCCTAGGGGCTAATTGATACAATTAGATAACATGTAAGTAACTTGAAAATGTCCTATTCCTTAAAATAAGCATCTTCCAATTACTCTTGTTTTCATATCATGGTTGGCTGGATTTCTCTTCCTTGTGCCCTTTATCATATTATGAATTTTGATTATCATAATAAAGTAATTAGAGGTCAAAAATTTCAAACCCTTTACAATTCAAAAGGATTTGATTTTAGGAGGGCTAAATCCACACCCATTCATATTAAATTCACACTCCATGTATTTATTAGACATTGATACCCTTAGCTTTTAAACATTAAATCAAGAATTTTTGCAGTAATATATTTTCTAAAGAAAAATAATTCACACCTCAATCTTTATGTAGGTTTTATATACAAATATCCTTTTCTTGTTTATTTTGTTAAACCTTTTTTAACACTTACACTTAACCAAAAGGAGAACATTAGTATGAAGTCAATATGAATGTATATTCCACCTTGAAAAATGCTTCGACTTTGGTATTATGAAATTGAAATATGTAGATATTGCTACTTACATCATTATTAGTAACTGAAAAATTGAGGTGTCAACCTTCTGTTAAGAAAATTGAGGTGTCCGTGGTTAGTTCGGTCGGACCTAGATGCGTTAGAGGCAATCCAGGGATTGGAATGGACAGTGGGGCATTGT